ATATATAGCACCAAAACAATATTTAAGTAAATAAAGGCAACTGTCTCTAGTGGAGTTAGGACATGATAATGCATATTATCATTTGATTTTGTTAAAGGTGGAAATCAGATATATTGTGAAATAGGGGGCCATAAAAGTCTAATGGTTAAGTTTATAAGAAAGTAACTCAAAATCAAATACTTACTTGACAGCATCCAGGTACATTCTCGCATATCTTAAGCCAGGAAAGGTTAACAGGGCTCCAAGTATAGCTGCAGGAAAGGCAAGTAAGGCTTGAAACGCACCAAAACTTATAAAGGGATGATAATCCTTTAATGAATTTTGCTCACTCCCCAAGGGTATCAAGTTTGCATGGGCATTAGCCAAGCCAAAGTCGAAAAAACGCCCATCCAAGGCAAGACAAGACATCGAGGCAATCAGGAAAAAAAAAGCAGCAACCAAAAGTATCATAAGTTCCGGTGCCAAGACACGCTTATCATTGGCCCCACTTAGTGAACTAACAGGGTAATTTGTTTCAATGGTAGTTGCTTTCTCATCACTGGTCTTACGGCCATCCTTACTATTAAAATATATGGCAGATAAAGAGAAAAGAGTCCTGGAGGCAAAGAATAAAGGAAGAGCACACCAAACAAGGCTAAAATTGAATCGAGATGTGAGAAAGGAAGGGGGTTTTGATTCGTTCTCAGCTGCAGTCAGCCAGGGAACAAGGCCACTAAATGCTACCTCATTAACAAGATATACACCAACGGCACAGACTGAAAAATCGATTAGCCAGTGAAATTCGGAAAAGAAAGGAAAATTTGTTAGATCTGCAAACTTGACTGGAAGCTTTGTTAGCTTAACTGGAGTATCACGGGGAATGTAGAATGTCTCGCCATGAGAATCACCTATGCTCTGCTCACCGCTATACCCCCCGTTATTTTTCGATTTTTTTCCTGTAATATAAAACATAAAGCATTATTCAAAATATATACACGAAGAAGGTAATAACATTTACGCCTTAGATAAATGATGCAACGATATGTAATCCATATAGCTAGCATATGGAAATAAAACATAGGAATAATTTATACGCATATATGGAAGCTAATAAAAATGCACAATAAGCTATTAGATACTTAAGTCAAAGT